CAGATAAATCCAATAAATGATATCAACCTCATACCCAGGGCTTCTGCGCTTATACACTGCTCTCAGAAGAGAGAGCAATAAGCGCAGAAGCCCTGCGCAGAAGACCTTATTTTAATAGCCCCAGCGACTAAACGCTCAACAGAGCGTCTTGTTTACTTGTATTTACAATTATTAATATTCTTAGAAACAAACAGTCAAAGTTAATATTACAGAAATTCTATTTTATTTTTATACTGACATATTGAAAAAGCTATTTGTCACCAAATGTTTACATTATAGGTGGCGGGCTTCCTGTCGATTTGGCGAAAGTAATGCCACGGTGATGCATTACTTGTATTTTTAATATTGTTTTTATGTGGATTATTGTTGAAAAAATGCGATCCGCATGCCGCTATGCTATTGTTATCATTATTAATTAATTAATATCCGTCACGAGCACACCATAACAGTTAAACTTCCATGAAAAGTCAGCATATTAGTATTTGAACTGACGACCGATCAGAGTGGTTTCGAAGGAAATGGCACTCTCTAGACGCTGCAATTTTGGTCCAATAGTGGGCACGGATTGGCACAGATTTGATCACCGAGATATCAATATCTGCAGTAGTATTGCCTTCCGCCAAATCGACAGGAAGCCCGCATCATCTAATTATAAATGTAAATACTTTTTTCGATATCTCAGTACAGCTAGTATATGAATAAAATATAATGTCTACAATACTAATCTTGACTCTTTTCTGCATGGCTTATTTTTTTATTTTATTCGCTTAACTATAACAATTGTAAATGGAATACGAATGGAAGTTGTGTAAATTGTTAGCTGATTTCTGTTAGCTGGACTCCTTGAACTTTGAGGTTAATATGTAGTTAAGTTAGGGATAACACCAAAAGTGGAACAGCTCAAAGGAACTTTTTGCATTCAAGGTATGTATATTTATGTTTTCTTCAAATTCTCTAAACTAAAGGTGAAGAACAATGATGTTTTAAGTGAGTTTATTTCAAGGGGTTTTTAGTCACGCAATCGCCAAACAGTGATTTTTGCATATTTCATGAACCAAAGTTAACTCTTTCTCAAAGCGTGTGAATTTATTTGCCCAAAATGAATAATACATTTCTGAAAAGAGCAGTTTCCCAATAGTGCTTGTGCAAAATCCCATAAAATTTGAAAGAATGGCAAATGGAGAAATCTGCCACTTTTTACATGCAATGACAAACATTAAAAATCAGTACCCGTCGCTCTTTATTGTGCACAAATGTGTTCAGTTGTTCACTTATCATAAAACTACTATTAATAAACGAGGGAGTGATGTAGCTTTAACAGAAAGTATAATAATTAAGGCTATTTGGATTTAGGGTTTGGATACCAGGAGTAAACATATGCAATTTCGGCCATTTTTTTATTGCGAAAATCGGTCCTCACAGCTTAAACATTTTTTGCCTTTTTTCATAAACAAAAGAGTATTTTTAAAAACTAACCACATAACGTTTCTCACTTCACCATAGTCAACTTATATTCAAAAGTAGAGCAAATTTAAAATTTGGAGCCTTGCCACATATTTCTCATTTTGTTTGATTTTTGTAGACAGTCGCTCTTAAAAAGGTATTCAAAGGTTGTGACAAATAACTCCAGTCAAAGAACACATTTTCTAAAATAAATTAATCTTACTGTTTGTTGGATTCTATACTTTGAGGTGGTACTTGTGGGATGTTATTTACAACATGTTCTTTTACAAAGCTTTTGATGACTTGGTTGGCATATTCTTTCTTTGCATTTACGTCAATTGGTTCACCAGTCTAGTTATTTTGCTCTGGAGTGTCATCGATGTCTTTCATGCCAAAATGATTCAATGCCCCACAAACAAGGTATGCACTCAATACTTTATCAAGGAACTCACTGCATCGATAGAAGTTATTGTGAGGGTCCACTGTAACATTCCTGGCATCTAGCAAATTTCTCGCAGCATAGAGAGTTCCTTTATCTCTGCATGAGCTTCGGTCATAAAGATGCATGGTGCCATATGACCTGAAATTAAAAAAAAAATACTCGTATATTTCTATACACTCTCTAGCATTCCGTTAACCAATTTTCATGCATTATTACATGAACTGTCCAAAATGATTGTTATGGAGTTTCCATTTCAAAGAGCTGTCCATAAGGAGGAGGTTCAAATGTATTAATAAAACTATTTTGCTTCACAATTTACCTTAAGCCATTCAGCCTGGACGTGAAAATCCTCAAATTTTGGGATTAAACCTTCAAGTCTTGATGATGGAGTTCTAGCATCGTACATACTAGATTGAGTCTCTTTGCGACGCTCAAATGTTAAATAGTCTCCACCACTCAGAACTTTAATAGGTTTGCAATTACTCTCTTCATCATGTCCTGGTACATAGGGATGGAGCCACTGGAGAATGTCCAACATATCATCTTCATATTGCTCATTTTTTCTGAGGACACCAAGATGAACCTATATAATTACATTGGAAGAATGATCAATTGTAGCATGGTTCAAAATTAATAAGTTATTAAATATTCCAAGGGATAGTAGTAGCAAATAATGCACTGGCTTAAGGTTTCAACACTAATTAAATCATTAATGGAACTTTGCATGATGGTAATGGAGATGTGATTCTCCCTCCCAGGAAAACCACATCCCAATCAATGTGGCCTGCCATATATGCCCTTCACGGTGATTGGGCCATTTGTGCAGCCACTAAAAACATGAAAACTCTTTTTTTAGTAGCCACAATACTTAACTTTCATGACTGGTGCTCTAATCTAGATAAAATACATGCATATACCCTCCCTTACCAGCCTTTATTGGCCACCTATTTATATAAAGATTTTCTATGTTCGTAAATGTGTAGTCAGCTGTAACAAGATAAAGAGCTCTAAACATGAAAATGAGGCTCTAATAGCCAAGGCTGAATACTTTCCAGACGGGTGTATTCTTGAGTTCAGTCCCACTGTGATTTGACACTTCATGTGATGGCTATTCATATAGCATGTTCAAGCCCCCTCCTATCTTCCAATATTTTTGTTGTTCAATTCAATGGTAACAGAAAATGTGTGAAATTGCATTATATCAAGCCAGCTCCCAGACCCTCCAAGCTTTACCGGAGCACTCCACAAAATTCACCCCTCCCCTAACTTAAAATATCTTCCTATGCCAGTGAAATATCAGTATATATATGTGCTGTAAATACCTTCTCGGTTTTCCTTTTGGTGTTATCCATCTGTGCATGAACAATCACTGGTGGAAGATACTCTTGAAACCACTCAAGTAAAGGGATATACTGACTCCATATATGACCAATCAGAACAACCAATTCATCAACTAAAGTAGATTGCTCTTTAGCACTTGGAAGGAAAATGGAAAGAGGTAAACTTTTTACATCATTGGAATATTGCTTGTTTGAAAAGTCATTTGATGGAATCCGATTCTTAAAAGCAAGCAGCGCTGGTACATGTGGTAATCCTTGTTCTTGTTGTTTAGAGTCATCTGGCATGGTAAGATTCGCATATCAACATTGTCCCCTGTAAAGGAATAACCAGGGTGCATTGTCTTCCTGTGATTCTCCAATTCTTTTGATAGCTTATCAGCTTCAGATTCACCTGCATTCTCAAGACAGTGTAGTAAGTGGTTTTCCTGCTTAACATTTTCTTCAACTTGCTCTTTCCATACTTTTAATGTGTTATCAAATCCTTGACCAGCACTTTCGAACAGTGTGTTTGTTGCTGCATATCCCATGCAGACATACGAAGGTGACAATCGTTTAAAAGCTATCTTTTTTAGACCTCCTTTCTTTAAAATAACAGACATTATCTTTCTTGTGGCATTCATATCCTCATTAAATATCGCAATCAGCTGACACCCAGCATTTAACATGGGCCCATGAAGTACTGATTTGGTCTTCAATACATTTCTATTTTGTTGCTGACTGTAAAAGTTGAATAAATCTTGGAGCTCTTGATAAAAGTTCTTGATTGACTTTGTCCCGTGAAAATTCAGCGGTTCTTTGGGAGAGGTCTTTCTTAGCACTGATGGGTTAGTCTTTGAACAGAGGTCAACTATTTCTGATGTTATTTTCTTACTGATCAGTTGATATATAACATCATTGAGATCTGGTATTGCAAGTACTGCATTTGCTATCGATGTGTTATCCCCTAGTGCCAACTGTCTTCCAAGTCTTTCATGTGTATCCTTCAGGTGAACTTTTCTGTTCGGACTGTTGGGGTATTGAATGACCACCTAATATATAAAAGAAACCATGATTAGAATTAACAATACTTGTGAAAATTAAAAACTTTCTACCATAAGGCCTCTATTAAGCCCCCCCCCCCCAAAGGCCTTATTTATTTCAGGCGGGCTTATTGGAGAGGGATTAACTTACTAGAGGCACTTATTGATTATGTTGAAACGTAGGAAATTATAATTGGAGTAAACTAATGTGAAATTGATCCAGGCCAACTAATAAATCTGATAAAAAAACATGTGGTTTTTTTTGTGATGGGGTGGGGCTTTAATTATAAATGCAATCATGTTTTCTGCAAATGGAAAATGGTTTCAATTAACTCTTGTCATGTTAATTATTTCTATAGTGTTTTAGTTTATTTCAATGGCTTAGTTTTATTGATAGAAAATATGCAAAATATCATAATTATAATAGCAAGCAAGTTGAAGAATAAAAAAATGCAAATTTTTTCAATTTATTTCTCCATGTAAAAAAAAGGGAAAGCGTTACCTCATTTGGGAGTTAGGAGTTGAGATGGGGCTGAATATATAAGATGTAATTATTTATTTTTAAACTATTCAAACATTGAAAGTAATGGGTAAATGTCTCAAATATAAAGGATTTAAGAACAGTAGCAATTGACATACCAGGCAGAAAGTGCAATTTAAAGATAAATATTAAAGCCCAGCAAATAAATTTAACTTTTTATTGTTATGTCTTGTTTGAAGGTTGTGTGCATAAGAGTGGGCTCAACCTCGTTCCCAGGGCCGGCTTCAGTGTGAGGACGAGGCGAGACACGTGGAAGCCCTGGTCTGGGCCAGTCACGTTACGACAAAAAATGGCAGTATTTGACAGCTACTCGTCAAGGAGTGGCGAGATATTCTTTAATGAAATATACAAGTCTTTGAAACAAATAAATAGCCAAAAGACTTCTCAATCGATATTATTTATGTGTAGAGCGAAGTTTGGCACGAATCAGCTGAAATCTATGAAGATCTTGTCTATGTTTTCTAAGATATACTGATATTTCTGGAGATTTTCAACCCGACAGACAAAGCTGCATCCAAGCTGCATCTAGGCGTCTCCATGCAAGTGGTGATTCACACGAAATTTCCTTTCTCTCGTCTTGAACAATATGGCTATTGCTATAATTAATATTTAGTTAAAATATGCTCTTATAGATCTGACTTAGTTCAATATATAAAATAAACACAAATATAAAACCTCGCGTAACCTGTTTACGCTGTACAGGAATATATGGATTCGCTTATTTCGCCCGGACACCAACACTTGTCGTTCAGGAGCGATGCTTGCCTGCAAATTTTATCCCCTTCACAATCTTTGTTTTATTGTATCGTATAGTCGCAATTTTCAAGTATTCGGGGTATTCTGAAACTGTAAAACTGGGTGGCGTGCGAATCTTGTAGAGACTACATCGGCCTAGGCATAGAGCTATTAATTGAGTAAACAGGGCCTAAATTAATTTAGTAGTTTCATTTAATTGTTTGTCTTGCTTTTATTTGTCAGTACAGAATATTGTAAATTAAAATATTACTACAATGCAATACGCGTAGTATTTCATCAGAAATCTGCACAAAAATACTGTACAAGGAAAACTACAGCTTAAATAATAATAGACGTTTCTTGTTTTGTCAGGAAACATCACAGCTCACTTCGACAGCTTTTGAGACCACCCACAACTGCATGAAATTTATTTTAAGGATGCCACCCTAAATTAAATTGAATCTTGAACTACATAATCCTTATCAAATAAATAATATTCTGTGATCCTGTCATTATTTTATTTGGTCTTATAACTTTCTTGGCATATTTTGATTCTGAGGATGCCTCCATTAATAATAATAATTATAATAACAGCCATTCAGGCTAGAAATAATTCAGAGCACCCCCCTTTTCTCACCCACCACCCCCCTCTCATTATTAAAGACTGGTCCCTTTTATTCAAATGTGACGGACAGTTATGAGCATTATCCCCTAGAAAATGTTACTTTCTAAATGAACATCTACTATTTCTACAAATGCAGCCTTTCCTGCATTTTCTGGAAGCCTTGCAGTAATCTTGGCCTTGTATTGTTCAGGCTTCATTGGCAGACAAAAGCTTCCAAAATAACATGAGCAAGCTTTGATTCGTTATTGTGATGTTTTGTATATTTATAATATAAACAATAAAGAGCATAGTATCGTCAGAATCTGTCGGTAAACAAGTCATGATACACCCAATCATTTATATATAAGGTTTATATAGTAGTGAAAGTGAAACTCATATCAGTCATATGTTGTCAAGTTAAATACACGTGGATAATACTCACATGCACTGCAGAAATATCACCATCGTTTGGCCAATGCGAGGTTTGTGTATATTTTTCCGTGCTTAGAGTCGACGGAATTGGTTGTTCACCAAAGAGACCTTTTGCTACGGCTACACGCTTTGTGCAGCTTCGACCTTCGGGATCGGTGTTTTCCTTGCTTTGTCTTTTGATTGAAATGATACAACCTCGTTGGGAAGCCAATTTCGATTTAGAAGAATAGAATAGGTCCTTTAATTCCAATATCTTAACCAGATTACTGTTTCGTCTGTCACAGTTTCTACAAAACAATAATCTCGGTGATGCAACTTTCCTCAGTGATTTGAGCGCCGATAATAACTTGCAAATTTATGCACGCATGTGTTTTTTCCGACTTTAAAAACTTTCTACGATAATCTGGATTATTTACATTTTCCAAGCAAATAAAGCATATCGATTCCTTACATTTTGGCGAAACAGATGGACGACTGATAGATTTTGTTGGAGTCAATTCGGCCATCAAATAGTTTAGCATGCCACAGTCAATGTATTAAATGTTATTTTTATTTATTACATAACTATGTCATTAACATTTCGCGCCATTTCTGAGAAACCTAATTTAATTAAATTCGATTTTCTGCAGGCGGAACAAGTCGACTTCTCAAAGTCGACTTGTGGCAAGTCTACGATAAAAGTGCAATGTAGAGAATTGTAACATTCACATTAAATAATTTGTATAATTTCTATTTAAAGAACTGTGAGTCTTATGAGCCGGGCTGGCTCGTTAAACTGGGATAGCTCGCTTTCCCGGGCCAAGTTGCTATTTGTTTCACATGAGACGGGCTAGCCTGGCAAGCACAAAACATTCCCGCGCGATTTTTGGCAGGAACGCGATATTTGTTTTAATTTTGAAAAATGCAATTTTCCCCGAGCCAACGGCGCAGAGCCCGGGGCGAGGGTACTAATTCCGCTCGGCTATTTACACCCGGGGAAAAGAAAACATTAGCGAAGTCTAAAGTTCATCAATGATCGCGGGCGTGGGTCACTGTGCGTGTATCGGTGGGTGGTCATCTCACTGATATCAAACAGCCGTTTGCCGGGAGTGAAGAAGGCAAAAATATAAAAAATACATGTAAGAAAGTCTGGAAAATCATTTCACATAACAAATTTAAAACTTTTTTCATTTTTGTTGCATGCCATATATGGCACGCAACTTTCATATACAATCTTTGGTTTAAAACGCTGATTCACGTTACTATAAATTTTACTTATCTTACATTTTACATCCATATGGGAACAAGAAACCATTTTTCTTAATTACAATCAGTTAACTTTGCAGATATCCCTTTTTAAGTTCGTTTTTGAACGAAGCTCACTACAAAACTGTAAATAAATCTATATCTCATTGGCTATTTTAGGACACCAAGTGAGCATCGTTGCTAGAAAATCATTCGTATCTTAGTCAGTTACGAAAACTTGTAAAATTGTGCTATCTTGTAAAATATGTTGGACTTTAAATGCCTATGGTGAATTTGTTTGACATTGTCTGCTATTAAGGCTTTTATGGCGGGTGAGCCCATGAAAATTTGGTGAGATTCGTGGGGGATTCGTTTCTATATTGATCTCATTGTCACATATATGTGCTTAGTTATGCTAACAAGATGGCTCAGTTGTCAGTTTTCTTTAAATAGAGTCCAAATACCGTTACCGTGCATGGAATTCAATGAATTGTGACTAAAATATGGCATTACAAGTCTTTAAATCTGATTTTAAATATACGCGATTTTGCAGCCGGATGTTAGCTATTTCCTAACACACGCATGCGCAAACATTGTATAACACAGTACACGAAAATTATCTGTGTGCAACGAAATTGCTAAAGGACCTAACAGAGGTAGGTAAGGTAGGTAAAACTTTATTTAAACACGCTAACCCCTTCAATACAAATTGATTTCCAAGGGGGGCGTGGTGAAAAAATTTAAAACACATAATAAACAACAAGACACGTATATACAAAGTTAAATATTTACAAACTAGTAGATTGTGACAGGCTAGTTGCACATAAAAGCGAGTTAAAAATTCCTAAGCTTTCCGCGTTTCTAACTTCAATAGGTAAATCGTTTCACAATTTAACACCATTGAAACTTATACTCTTTTTTAAATATTCCGTTTTAGGAAAAGGAAGATTGAGCTTCATGTCAGAATTACGTAAATTGTAGTCATGAGATCTGACAACTACTGAAGCACTAGAAAATATTTCAGTAAGCGCAGTAGGTGCAAAACCATGAATAATCTTATACATGAGTCTGGCTTTAGATTCAAATTGACGTTCCTTAAGTGTTTTCCACCCGAGCGCAGTCAAAGCAGCTTCTGAGCAACCGTGCGCATTTGGGTAACCCATAATTATTCTTGCTGCCCGATTTTGAAGAGTCTGCAATTTATCAGATAAAACACTGCCAATCGGATCCCACACCTCACAACAATAATCAAAATATGTTTGAACTAAAGTGTTGTAGACAGAAATAAGAGTATTTCTGCATACAAACGGTTTTAGCCTAGAAATCGCTCCAATGCCACTGGAAATTTTCTTTGTCAATTTCTCAATATAAAAATCCCAAGAGAGAAATTGGTCAATATGAATTCCTAGAATTCACTATCACTCGGTTCAAAAGTTTACCATCAACAGAAATACAAGGATTGTCAACAAGATTATTGATGCTGTGTCTGGATCCTATTAGCATATATTCCGTTTTGCTAAGGTTCAAACAAAGCTTATTAGCCATTAGCCAATCGTTAACATTATTTAAATCATGATTCAAAGCAGACAAAATTTCATGTGTGGATTTGCCACACACAGTGAGCGTCGTATCATCTGCAAACATCCTTGGTGTACAGTATTTTAAACAATTAGGCAGATCGTTAATATACACTAAAAAGAATAGTGGCCCCAAAATCGATCCCTGAGGAATTCCACACTTAATCGGTTTAGAATGAGATAATGTACCATTTATAAAGCATTTTTGTAACCGATTTGTTATGTATGATTCAAGTACAGTGGAACCCCTCCTTACGGCCACCCCGTTAATACGGTCACTTCGATAATACGGTCACTTTTTTTTGTCCCGGCGAAACACTAATACATTTTATAATAAAGTTACCCGGTTAATACGGCCACCCTGTTAATACGGCCAACAGCCATATTGTAGAGTCCCGAACTAAAGAAATCACCCCGTTAATATGGTCACTCAAAAAAATAAATGTGTTTACGGACGGAAATACAGTATAATTTAAGACACCTTGTGCAGTGAAACACACAATTCAACTTGCATCATATTACTATTTTTTTATTTTTATTATCAGTCGCGCAAAGGAAAAGAAAGAATGCAAGGTTCTTTGGCGACGTTGTATTCCCTAACATTGTTTCCTTAAAATTAGTGAAAACTTTATCTGAACTTTATAATGTTTAGTTATTAATTGGTATTATGGTGGGGTATGGTGTTATTGTGATTTTCGAATAAACATAGCTTTAATGACGTCACAATTGAAATTTGATCTCACCCCGTTAATACGACCACCCCGTTAATACGGCCATATTATTTCGGCCCGTTGGTGACCGTATTAACGGGGTCCCACTGTAACCCCAATGAATGCCGTTTTATCCCATACATATTTAGCTTTTCAATCAAGATTTCATGATCAATGGTATCAAAAGCTTTTTTAAGATCTAAAAAAGCAACAATATTAAGCAAACCTTTATCCATATTTGAATTCCATTGATTAGTGCTATCAAGAAGAGCCGTAGTTGTAGAGTAATATCGCCTGAAACCGAATTGACATTTCGAAAGTATGCTAGCATTGGATAAATAGCCATGTAGTTGCTCATAAAGTATACTTTCAAAGGCCTTGCTGATAGCTGGAAGGATAGAGATTGGGCGATAATTATCCAACAAATTTTTGGGACCTTTCTTATGAAGAGGTATAACCTTGGCTACCTTCCAATCGCGAGGAAAGACCCCATTCTGAATTACATAATTAAATAATTTAGTCATAGATGGCACTATAATGGCTATAGAAAGTTTCAATACTTTTATTGGAATTTTATCAACTCCGATTGCCTTAGAGGAGGATAAAGCATGAAATGAATGTAAAACTTTATCAACAGATACAGTATCAAACTCAAAAGTCGTGGATGATTTACTTATGTATGAACTAAAGTGAGTATTTCCAGAATCAACGGAATTTGCAATTTTTGTCTCCGATAGTAGAAAAATATTCATTGAAAGTCTCAGCTATTTCATTAGAACCAGAAATAATGTTATCATTTTGTCTAATGCTAGATGGAGGATTTATTATGGCCTCGCCCAAGGATTCGATTTATAATTTGCCAACTTTCTTTCGGATTGTGTTTGTATTTATAAAGCAAATTACTATAATATAATTGCTTATCCTTTTGTAAAGTGCATGAAACAACGTTTCTGGCCGTCTTGTATGCATTCCAATCTAAAGTGGAATTGGATTTTATTGCCTTCAATTTAAGTTTATCCCTTTCAAACATTAATTTTTTAGAATTTTTATTCAACCAAGGGATATTACTTCGGGTTCTTACTCTTTTCATCCTAAGAGGGGGCATGCACATCGAGAACTGCCAGGAACAAAGTTTTCCACAAACACCATTTAGAGTCATCTATAGACAGTCATCCTCACTGTCTAAAAGATCCCATGGATGAGATAAAAGATCTTCTTGAAATCTGCTGGGATTGAAATGTTTAAAATTTCTAATTTCAACAGTCTGATGGGCTCTCACCCTTTCTTGCACATTAATTTTGCGAACAACAAATATTAAGTTGTGATCGCTAATTCGGATTGGAAATACATCCGAATATATAATTTTCTCAGGGAGTGAGGAGATACAGACATCCAATAAGGAGCTTGTGGTTTGAGTTACACGAGTAGGTTTAACGATTAATTGGGAAAGTTGATAGACATTCAAAAAGTTATTTAGTTTTTTGGATGCCGAATTCAACGAATCTAACATATTGCAGTTTAAGTCACCAACCACAATAATTTCTTTACCTTCACTATCAAGTTTATCAATAAAGGATTCTATCATAGAAAAATACTGAGAGCTTGCACTAGGAGATCTATATATACTAGCAACAATGAATGGTTGACTGTTTGGTTTGTGAATTTCAACAGAGACTGCTGCAAGGGTAGCAGGGATTGAATCATTTCGATTAAGATAGTTTAAATTACTTCTAATATATAGGCAAACACCACCACCTTGCCTATTCCGATCAGTACGAATCAGGTCATAATTATGAACAGACATCAAATCATCAGACAACATCGTCTAGCCTTGTCTCATTCAAAGCAAGAATATGAAGATCTTGCTTAGCTAATCTCATCAATATATTTCGGCAGGCTGACAATGTTTAGCATGGCTACCTTAAAGCCCCTAATTTTAGGAAAGCCAGACTCAAGTATACTTATTGGATTGCAACTAGCCCGAATCGAATATCATATATAATTAGAAAAGTTACTGCATGCTAAGATAGCTCTCGTTCCTTTCCGATTTAGGTGTAAACCTTTAAGGTTTAGACAGCTTTTATCTAGATTTGAATTATCAATAAAGGGCCAGTTATTAGCCATGAAAGTTGATTTCAACAACTTGTTTACAGACTTTATCTTCGATTTTAAATTTAGGCCCTTTCTAACTATTAAACCAGAGATAGTCACTTTAGTATTAGGTGATTTCTTGGTTATCATTGATGCTAATCTAGAAATACCTGCAGCGAGAACTTCAGGCGAGTCATTTCCTTTGATATTGTTTGTGCCAATATGGAGAATTATTTCATCAGGTGACCTTCGTATAATAGGTTGCAGAAAATCATTCATGTCATCAATTTTAGCACCAGAAAACGACTTAACGGCAATGCTGTATTTGACATTTCCCAACCATGCACATGTTGAATCATTGAGTCGCTCGCGATAATAACAGTTTTTCTATCCTTTTGTCTTAGTTCGTTCTTTCTCGGTCTATCATCGTATGTATATTATCTTGAAAACCATGACCCCTGCTCATTTGTCTTTGATCATTCTTTTTCGATCTCTCAGCGGATATATTGCCTTGAAAACCATCACCCCTGCTCTTTTGTCTTTGATCATTCTTTCTGGGTCTATCATCGGATGTATTTGGCGTAATAACATTCACATTTGAATTTCTTACCTCATTGGCACTGGTGCCTGTTCCTTCCACGCTAGGTAGGGAAAACTTGTTTGTATTAACTCTCACCGAGGGGCCTTTAGGTTTATCATCGAACGAATCGTCAACAGTGATTACCGAAGATCTACTTGCATTCGAACTGTCCGTTGGATGTTTGGATTCAGCCTTCTTATTACTTCTGATTTCTGTCCAAGATCCTGTGGTTTCCACTTGAACATTAACATCAACCTGGAGTAACTTAATGGCTGTCATTAGGCTCATTTTGTCATTCTCTAAATCCTTAATTTTGGTATTCAAATCTGAGACAGTGCATAACAGATTGAGGTTTCTCTCAATAAGCGAAGTATTTTCGAGTTTAAGTCGATTAATTTCACTCTTTAGCTCATCGCCAATAGCATAGGAGTCTTTACTTTTTAAGTCATCAATTTCAGCAGCCAACAAATCAAATTTCTCAGTTTTTAAATTGTGAACATCAGATGTTAAGACTTCAAATTTAGCAGCCATTGTCTCAATAAACTCGTTCATTGTTTGCTTTAAGACATTTATCTCACTTGCTTCATTAATCATCGGTTCGGTGAGCACTGTTAAATTATGCAAGCTAGAGTGCAATTTTTTTTCACCATCTTGACTCGTATTAGCCGCTTTTTCACGCTGGATAATTTGAACAAGTTTGCTTTTGACTTCCTCGGTCTTTTCACCTTTCAAAGTTAAAGTCCCCTTCGTCGAGTACCAGGGAATAGCTATATCCCAACTATCAAACAGCTTACAATCGCCACCAGACGATGTCCATTTAGCAGGCGAAATTTGAAGGTCGTTAACTAGGCATTTAAGATCTTCAAAACTACCAGCCCATTTCAAGCTTCCCTTCGCCGAAATAGATAATAAAGCTCCTTTAGAAGCTAACGACTCATTTATAGGATCTCCGCTTTCTTTATCATTTAAATCAATAGTATAACTTTAAGATAGATCAGAGAGCTCTTCACAGAGCTCTTGACAGTACGCCATGTTTATTTCAAGGTGAAGAAATTATGAAAATATAACTGCGTACACAGCTTGATGATGTCTACAAGTTGAATTAAGGTGGCTCCCTACAGTTCTCTAAAATTCTAGGTATTTTGAGTAACGTTCGCTTTGAACCGAATTTATATTAGATAGACTTAAGACAAGGCAATATGATAATTTCCACGAAAATTCAGAAGCTGTGTGCTGTCCATTTATGAACAAATTAAAACAGTGTTTGTGTTGCCATGGCAACCATGATGTTTAATCTTTTGCACTTTCATTGTCTAATTTCACAATAAATTGACAATATCTATATTTTCCTTCGGTGAATTTTTCTGAATTTGTTTTTGAAGATTTATGGCCCATAAAGGAAAAACATATCAAAATTTGAAGGGAATTTACAAATAAGTTTTCGAGATATTCGTGAATGACGGTTACAGAAAAATTTATTTGTAGAATTTCTTAAAATTTGGATATGTTGTACCACTCGTCTTGTATAACAAAAATACAAAGTTTAAAAAAATTTCACCGAAGAAAACACGAGAAAATCATCGCTAAAATCGGCGTGGCCAGCATGAAAAAAAATCGACTCGACATGAGCACGATCTGCGCATGCGTGTAAATTGTAGCGTGTGATTTATAGTGATTTCAACTTTTTGGCTTACAATACATACGAAAACAAATATTTCTGACTTGTTTGACATGAAAATAAAATATTAATCTTGAAAATACTAATAAAAAACACTATTATACGCATTGTATTAAATCCAGTGTTAGTTTACATTTGTTTTTGTTGTTAAAATCGGTGTGAAAACTTTTCAAAACATCGAAACTTTACAAAACAACTCATAACTGTTTTATTTGATTTAGCAGATAAAACGATACCTGTGAATTGAATTGATTGACAGAACTTACATAAGTTTCGGCGACAGTTCACTACTGTTCAAGAGTTATAGAAGACAGTATCGTTTCAGTTTGACAGTTCGCAACACAACAAGTTGAAAATTTTGAGCAATATGAAAGACAATACTGAACGTAAATACGTAAAAACACACTAAAAGATTGGCTAAACTAGTTAATAACATACATACTGTTCGAATTCACAAAAAATTAGGATTATAATGAAAAAACTGGAGCTTTCTTCGTAGATAAAAACGCCAAAAAACTTCCCGCGGCTTGTTTCAATATTTTTGCCGAACAGTAAACACGATGATTCCACGCGCAGGTCGCGACGATGACGTCTGATATATATAAATCGTATTTAAACTGTACTAACTGTAGGGAGCCACCTTAAGTTAAGTTTAAGAGCAATGATATTACTTCAACAGACAATCTTTGACAATATCGATTGGGACAATCTAGTTTTCACATGCATTCGGTTGTAATATACCATTTCCTGATACATATTTTCCGCCCTCCCTCCCCCCACACATTTCAATGTTGGCGCCGCGCATCCAGACATCAGATTTTTGTTGGCCCAACATTGAACTGGGGGAACGGGGGGGCACTATTCTTTTCAAATTATATGAAATTACAGCAGCTGTCCCATAGTTTCTGGCAAAGGTTGTAGCTCTAAATTTCGTGTCGTGTTCGGTGAGCGTACCAGTCACATGCCAGATTCGTAAAATACGACAAATACCGAGTTTCGGACGAGCATTTTCATGACAGGTTTTCGTCGAGGAAACGCAAAGAAAATTTATATATTGATTATTCGCCGAAAATTTACATAATCGAGCGCCTTAGAAAATAAATCGAGGTAGGTAAAGCTTTACTGTTTTAACTTACCTTGTATTTTGTTATTTGTTGTGATTTTGGAGCCGTTGTGCTCGCACTGATTATTTATCGACTATCACGCGTTTATATTCATATATCGTGAAAGCATAGTAGCCCAAACGCACTGTGCGATTTAAATTTAAATGCTTGGCATACTTAAGAGGCAGTCTCTGTAAGAACCTCATGACCTCTTTGCATCAAGAAATAGATTTCTCTCAAACTTTGTACTTGAGATTGCCTTTTATATAAGGTTTGTTTCAAAATGCATTTTGTTTTCAG